ACACGTGTAGCTCCGGGCGCACTGCGTGGGTCGCCAGCGGTGGGCTCGGCAGCCACACGGGTTAATAGATGAGAACGAACTCGCACTGATTATTAGGCTCGAAGACGGTGTAACGTGCCCCTATGCGGTTCACGCCCGTGGTTCCTCCAAGCAAATTAATGGTTTCAAGCAGTCGGGGCAAGCTTTCTCCCACTTGGAAAGTAAGCCTCATCAATTTTAAAATGCTTAAAAGCCATAGAAATGCCTTCCTTCCAAGCAAGGAGTGGCTGCTCTAGCAACCTCAAGAGCTATCATCTGCCCATCAGGCTGCCTGGAGAATTCCCGGGCCCCCAGGCTGTAGCCTCTCTCCTGCTCCAGGGCAATGGGCGGACCTGGAAAGGCACACTCACCTTTGCTTTCATTTTTCTTTGTAACATCATCTCCATTCAGAGTGAATGCCCCCAGGACCTCCATCTCAGAGCAGGAGGCACAGGCAGGGAGTTTCAAACCCAGAGCCTTCTCTGACAAGACGCGGGACTGAACTGGTTCCTGCTTTTGTCACCGGTGCCCTGTGGAGCATTCTGGAGGGTTTGCTCCACCTGCTCCAATGCATACGCCTGTGCTGCTTGGAGTTGTTTGGCTTTGTTTGTTAGCACATCGGTCCACGTTGCACGGGGTGTTCCAGGACTGTGTGTGGGACATTCAAGCAGATGCTTCGGTGTCTGCTTTCCGGGGTCCTCAGAGGGACCAGACGACATCCAGGATCCGATCTTGCTCCACCTGCACGGGGAAGAGCTTGGTTCTCATTTCTGTGCCCCTGCGGCCGCCAGGCCATAGCTCGGGCTGGGCGGCTGTCCCTGTGTCGGACACAAGGAGACGAGAGGACAGGCCCGGGTGGGAGAGGCTGGAAAGAGACGTGTTGCAGAGGGACCACGTGGCTTCTTCGGGATCAGGGGCTGAGAGCCCTGAGCGTGTGGGAGGGAGATGGTGAGCACGAGGGAAGAGTGACTCCGAGGAGAAGGGTTCGGGTCTTCAGACGTCAACCCTCTGTTAAACGTAGCAACAGCCGTTGCCAAAAAGGATAGATAAATGCCAAAAACAGATAAGTGTTGGAGGGAGAACTCTGGTTGTTTGGTTCCACTGTATCTTCTGCTTCCTCTTGACCATCAAGTCTTCATCATCTCACCCTCTTCTGGCTCCTGATGCTATAAGCAGGGCTCCCCTGCGGCCTCCATGCACCCCCAGGCAGCCAGGGCCTCTCCTATGAGCCTCTCCCAGCCCTCTCATTGGAGTCGTTTCTCAGGCCACTCTGTGGATCACCTCTAGGGGGCACCATTCACACAGGACAGTCCAGTGGGTGTGCCATGAGCTGGCCTTTCTGACCTCCCTATATGAGGAGCCAGCCTCCCAGCTCTGAGTGAGCCCCCGGGGCCGCCCCCACGCCTGGCACAGATGAGCCCTCAGGAAAGGAGTGCCAGACAGAGCCGCCAGGGCCCGGAGCTTATGCTGGGCCAGGCACCAAGCCCGTTCCCTACTGCAGCCCTCCCTTCGCTCGGGCGGGGGGAGGGAGGACGGCTCTGCACCACGTTTCAGAGGAGTGGACTGGGCTCAAAGGGACGAGTGGCCTGTCCAGGGTCTACGTCTGTGAGATGGCAACGCGGGGACGGAAACACAGCCTGTAACGCGCCAGCCCCGCTCTCGCTGTATCTGTGGAAGTTCAGGTGCAGGCACTCACTCCCACCTTCAAGGTCAAGCTCAGGGGACCAGCTGCACCCAGGGGTAGCACAGGGCCCTTGTTAGCTCAGGAACAGGCCTTGGGGCTGTGGGCCCTGAGGGGCGTCCTGGCCTTTCAAGCCCCATCCTGGTTTCTCTGGAGGCGGCTTCAGCCTCGCAGCCTCCTCTCTGATGACCTGCTGTCTACACCCTCCACCCCTCCCTGCCATCAACCTCCACAGAATCCACCTTCTCCCTGAGCGTTACTTTCAAACAAATTTCTTTTGGATTCACAGAGGCAAGAGCAGCCCTTTGATCTCAACAAGGCACATGCCGTTTCCCTCCCCAGCACATGGAACAATTTTAGACTAATTATTTCTGACAACTTGCAAATGTTTGTAAACTTCCTCAAGGAGGAGGAGGAAGTGGCACAGTTATGTCTTCCTCCCACACGGGAGAGGCGGCTTTCTCTGTGCCTCACGGCCATGTCTTTCCCAAGAGAATTCCGAAGCCTTGATCTTCTAAGGCACTCCGATTTCCGCTGAGATACAAAATTAATCAAATTGTCCTCCTAGCCCTTTGAGTTAAATTTAACCACGCAGCTGAAAGCGGTCCCGGCTGCCACGGCGGGCGCGGCCCTGGTCCTGGCTCCGCTCCGTGCCCTTTGTGTGGCTTCACCGTGTCTCCGCCATCACTGTACGGCCGGCGGTAAATAAGCCTCTTCATCAGGTAGAACCTGGATTCCTAATCAACTTCGCCATTAAAGGAAATCACCCCAAGTCAGGGCTATTTGCAGTGTGTCTGGAGCAATCGAAAATTAAAGTTCAAAACCATGTAGAATTCCAGCGCGGGGAGGGGAGGCCCAGGCTGGCACAGCAGCAGCCCAGCGTCCCTCGCGGCCCAGCCACATGCTAATGCCCCCTTTATTACTTACCTTTGCTAAGCCCAGTCTATGCACACAGGCAGGTAGAAATATTGCAGAGTAAACCGGCCCTTAATCCTAGCTAATCCCTGGTCAGCTAGCTAGATCCTTCCTTTATTAGAAGGAGAACAAAGACAAAGGCATCTGACTCCTCTGTTAAAAGCAAAGGCCCTCCCTTCCCTTGAGCCAGGGCGTCGGTCTCCAGGCCTGGTCCAGGGAGAGCCGCTGTCTCCACTTCCCGCAGGCTCTGCCAGCACCCGCCAGGTCTCACTCTTCCCAACGTAAATCTGTCTTGTGGTTTTGGATGAGCAATTCCTTTTCACCCCTCTGACTATAAGACCAAACTCTTAATACTCCCCGTGAGGAGCCGGATTCTTTCCAAAGAGGGAACAAAGCTAAACTTCGGTTTTAACTTTTAAAATGCAACCGGAAAAGACACGGACGCAACAGAAATTTCTAACATCACCTCGACACGTGGCTCCCACCTGGGCAGGTGTGCCGGGTGTCTCCAGGCGGTTGGTTTAGGTCACAGTGGTTCTCAACCTTCTGGCCCTTTAAATACAGTTCCTCATGTTGTGACCCAGCCATAAAATTATTTTCGTTGCTACTTCATAACTGTAATGTTGCTACTGTTATGAATCGTAATGTAAATATCTGATATGCAGGATGGTCTTAGGCGACCCCTGTGAAAGGGTCGTTCGACCCCCAAAGGGGTTGCGACCCACAGGTTGAGAACCGCTGGTTTAGGAGAAGCCCCTCAAACTGGCCTGAGGAGGAGCTTATGGTGAGGGACCTTCTGGAATCCACGAAAAATGACCGGCCAGCCTCTGACAGGTGAGGCAGGAAACAGGAGACCCCCTGCTTGGGCACCTGGACCCCGCCCGCCAGGTGAGGGCCCCACTGAGAGGAGCCAGGAGCGAGGAGCGGGACACAGCACTGGAAGTCCCCCACACCCCGTCGCCGCAGCTGAGCAATCATTCTGTTGGTCATTCCAGAGCAGTCGTGCACTGGCATCTCAGCTGGCACAGCACCGGCACTGCCACCCTCTTCATCTCTTGTCACTAAATCTGTGATCAGTGAAACGGTTTTAAGGACAAATCTAGCCCTGGCGGGAGTGGCTTAGTTGGTTGGGCGTCGTCCTGTGCACCGAAAGGTTGCAGGTTTGATTCCTAGTCAGGGCACATCAATATTTATATATATATATATATATATATATCTCCCCCCTCTCCCTTCCTGTCACTCTAAAAACCAATTAAAAATATTTTTTAAAAAAGCTATAGCCCCTTTGGGAGGGCAATTTGGCAGTGCCCAACAAAATTACACGCTAACGTTCCCTTGCACCTTGTAGGGAGTGCCATGCCCAGATATACTCGTGCGTGGGTACGTTAATGTACGGATGAGTTAGTCCCAATCGCTCGGAGTCTGGCAGCAGAAGACCGGAAGCAACGTAACTGTCCACCACTGGAGATGGCTGAATGAACTACGGCATTTATACAGCGGTGTGCTGTGCAGCAGGATCAAGGACGAGGCATACACAGGTAGGGCCATCACTGAGGTGTCCTGTCCTGCAGAAAGGGTGCAGACGATCAAAGCCACTACCATTCATGGGGGAAACTAGTGAGGGAGAGTGGGTGCTCTCACCTGTCATGTTGCATCAACTCCTGTGAGCTGCACAGAAGGAAGAGGATGATGAGATGTGTGTGTGGGGGGGGGGGGGGGAGGCAGGGCTGAGGGGCAGAGTTTTCCATGTACCCATTTCAAGCCAGGAGACGGTCTTCTCTAGCCAAAATAAACAAATCATACGCTAAAAGGAACTAAGTTGTAAATTTGAAGAATAATCACTCCGACATATGGGAATCTGGTACCACTTTCCTTCACTAGGCAGGACCTTGAGGATAAATAAAGCCCACATAGCTGTTGTCAGCTCGTTGGCCCAGGCACCTCGGCAGCTGCCACCCTGGGCCCCTGTCAGAAAGGAGGGAACTGGGTGTGCTGGTGTGGAAGCCATCCAGCACCTGGCCTCTTCGGTGAAGTTTCCAGGTCAGTGAGGCTGAACTTGCTCATCTTATGAGACGTCATTCTAAGCCACGCCTGTGAGCCACCAATGCTCACCCTGCACACCCGCATTTGGGCACGCTCAAGCAGCCAGCAACTTGACAACTTTCCCTCCCCCTCTCCCCAGAGGTCAAGTGGCCTCCATGCATTGCGCGCTGACCTGGCCTTTTATGAATGCTGTAGCAGCCGGACACGGCTCCTGAGCCAGGTAACAAGCAGCACGGTAAATGCACAGCAGTCTATTAAGTGTACCATGGTCCACACTCCCCCGTGCCCTCTCCAAGGTAAACACAAGCAGTGTCAACCACTGGCTTATGGTGGTGTTTCAGAGTAGTGACATGTAAATAATTTATTTTTAGCAGAAGTTAACAATCCATATAATCAGATACAATATATGCTTTTCACAGACAGCTGCCCCTTAGCCCATCTGACCACAGGTCCTGGGGCTGAAGATGCACAGAAGCCCAGATGTGGCAAGGGATCAGAGCGCCAGGAACCCCTAGAGCCAGAGATGATGTTGGTGGTGTTTGTTCAGAGTCCTCAGAGCAGCCGAGGAGAGCCGCCTGGGAGCCCTGTGGGGGCCGCGTGCCGAGTGGCTCTCCAGCGGGGACAGCACAGGACATTTGATGAGTGCCTCTCTGCTTCCTTTGTGATTCACCTGAAGTTACTCTTGACAGGCAGCTCCGTGAGTGTGAATCTGGAGGCGAATGTCCTACAAATGGGATATTAAACAAATGCTGTACAGCAAGGCTGCCAGGCAAGGGGACACTTGAGTGAGAAAAACAGTTGAAGGATGAATTCTTTTCAGAAGCTGACCTGCTAAAATATCAGGCAGTGTGGGGGAGGCTGCAGCATGACGTGGCCAGGACACGTGGCTGCTGTGTGATGCTCTGGGCTGTGCACAGGCTGGCCTCCAAGACGGACAGGAGCGGCTGCAGGATCTGGTCCCACTGTGGACACAGTGCACCATTTTGAGGGAAACACACCTCCTGTCTCTCCAATAGCATACCACAGCCCTGTGTCACTCCCAGGACCCACAAGGGGCACCTTTCCACCCTTGAACAGTCACTACAGCCTTGGGGTCACCAAAAGCTCACCCCAGAGCTGAGGGAGGCTGTCAGTCCAAGTGCACCCCTCCCAGTCACGTACTCACACTTCACGAAGCACTCATCATGGGCGGTGATAAATACCACGCTGTAATTCCCGTAGGTGTTCATCACCAGCATTATCATCAGCAGCATGTTGACTGAGGACCTTGCCCGCCCTTTACTGAGAGCTCAGCATGGATGCTTGTGCTTCCCTCCCCATCAGCCCGGGGAAGAACTTGTGAAAGCGTGGAGCCCGTGTGGCTAAGGTGACATGTGAGCCCAGGCCCCACCCCAAGTGCCTGTCTCATGACTACTTCACTCTGATAGCAACAAGAGCTCAGTTTTCCAGGGGTGTGTTATACTCCCTTAAGTCACTCGGAACAAAACCCAACTCTGACAGGTATTCTGTATAGTAAAGAGGTGATATGCAAGTTGACCCTCACTCCATCATGTTGTCACAAGATGGCTGCACCCACAGCAGAGGCGGGATTCCCGTAATGAGCCATAACAAGCAATCAGCAGGGACCTGAGGCTGTGCCCCCCACATGGCGGGGCTTGATGGGGACCTCAGGCCTTGTTCCCTGCCCCAGGCGGGGGGACCTGAGGCCTCACCCCCTGCCCCGGCACCAGGCTGGGGGACCTGAGAGTGCACCAGGGGACCTGAGGCTACACCCCCTGCCCGGAACTGAGCCGGGGGACCTGAGGCTGCGCCCCCCTCCTGGAAGGGCTTGACGGGGGTGGGGCCAGCTGGGTCTGGGTCTCACGTGATTTCAAGGTGCACACGGGTGGGTGGGGACTTGAATCTGGGTCCCATGGTGTGCCCCAGACTCTGACAGGAGGAAGATTTTCATATACATTTTACTAATTTTCTTTCGTCTCTGACACTTCTATTATAGAGAAAAGGCAAATAGCAATATTAAAATATTCCCTCTAATTAATCCCCTTTTAATGTGCACAAGGGGGGGGAGTAGGAGGAGAAGAAAGGGAGGAAGCAATTGCCCACCCTATTGTAAAACCTCTTCCCCACCCTGTGTAGTTTCCGAAGCCCATTAAGAGACTGAGAATAACAATCAGTCTGCAGGGAGAAGCAATTGCCCCACACTGTTAGAAAACCCCTGGCCACACCCTATTGACAGCCTGAGGCTAATCAAGACTGAATAACCGTCAGATTGTAGGCAGAGGCAGGTCTCTGGAGGCTTTGAGTCTTTGATCTAATTTGGGAACCTGGGGCTAGGGAAAGCAGACCTTGGTGCACATTTTGGTCCTTTCCAAAAGCCACCCAGTCCCAGCAGAGGGAGCCACAAGCAGTGAATTGCTGATAGCTCCAAACAGGGTACTCAGGCCAGTCACAAACAGCATGTGAGATTTTCTGCACCAGAGATTGGGAGTCATAGCAGATCTACCTAATACATAGACACAAACCCAAACATAAAGCCAAAATGGAGAGAGAAAAAAAAAAAGCCCCAAATGAAATAAAAAGAAGATTCTCCAGAAGAATAGCTAAATGAAATGGAGATGAGAAATTTATCATATATAGAGTTCAGAAAGTTCAGAATAATCATGGCAAGATGATCAACAGCATGAGAAAAGATATTGCAACTATGAAAAAAGAACAGTTGGAAATAAAAAATGACATAGCAATAATAAAGAACACATTGGACGACATATACAGTAGACTAGGGGAAGCAGAGGATTAGATCAGTGAGTTCAAAGACAAGGTAGCCCTGACTGGTTTGGCTCAGTGGATAGAGCGTCGGCCTGCGGACTGAAGGGTCCCAGGTTCGATTCCATTCAAGGGCATGTACCTTGGTTGCAGGCATGTCCCCAGTGGGGGGTGTGCAGGAGGCAGCTGATCGATGTTTCTTTCTCGTCGTTTCTACCTCTCTATTCCTCTCCCTTCCTCTCTGTACAAAAATCAATAAAATATATTTAAAATTTTTTTTTTAAAGACAAGGTAGAGAAAGTCACTCAATCATAGAACCAAAAAGAAAAACAATTGAAAAACAGGAGGACAGCTTAAGGGAACTGAGGGACAATATGAAACATAACAATATTCACATCATAGGAGAACCAAGAGGTGAAAAAAGTGAGCAAGGGTGAAATAAAGGCAGAAAACTTCCCTAACCTGGTGAAGGAAAAAGTCACACAACTCCAGGGGGCACAGAGAATCCCAAGCATAATAACCCAAACAGGCCCACGCCCAGACACATCATAAACAAATTGCCAAAAATTAAAGACCAAGATAGAATTTAAAGGCAGCAAGAGAAAAGAAAACTGTTATCTGCAAAGGAGCTCCCATAAGGCTGACACCTGATTTTTCATCAGAAACTCTACAGGCCAGAAGGGAATGGCATGAAGTATTCAAGGTAATGAAAAGCAAGGATCTGAAACCAAGATTACTATATCCAGGAAGGCTATCATTCAAAATAGATGGTGAAATAAAGAGCTTCCCAGACAAAAAACAAAACAAAAACAAACTAAAGTAGTTTATCACCACCAAACCAGCACTACAAAAAATGCTAAAGAGACTGCTGTAATGAGAAGAAATATATATAGAGAGAAACATAGGCATAAAAATTTAAATGACAATAAATAAAAACCTATCAACAATAACCTTAAATGTAAATGGATTAAATGCTCCAATCAAAAGGTATAGGGTAGCTCAATATATATGAACACATGACCCAAATATATGCTGTCTACAAGAGACCCACCTCAGAACAAAAAAAAAAAACTCACACAGGATGAGAGTGAAGGGATGAAAAAAAATGTCCATGCAAATGGAAAAAAAAAAAAAAGCTGGTATAGCAATACTCATATCTGAAAAAATAGACTTCAAAATGAAGGCCATCACAAAAGACAACAAAGGTCACTGCATAATATTAAAAGGATAAATCCAACAAGAGGTATAACCCTGGTAAACATATATACACCCAATATAGGAGCACCTAAATATATAAAAGAAACTTCTAGAGAACTTTAAGGGAGAAATAGACAACAATACATCATAGTAGGGGATTTTAACACTGCACTGACTTCATTGGATAGATCTTTCTGACAAAGAATTAACAAAGAAACAGTGTCTCTAAAGGACACACTGGATCAGATGGATTTAACTGGCATTTATAGAACATTTCATTCCAAAGCTGCAGAATATACATTCTTCTCAAGTGCCCATGGGTCATTCTAAAAGATAGACCACAGGTTAGGACACAAAACAGGTCTCTACAAGTTCAAAAAGACTGAAATCATGTCAAGCATTTTCTCAGATTACAATGGCATGAAACTAGAAATCAACTACAATAGAAACACTCAAAAACATTCAAACACATGGAAATTAAATAGCATGTTATTAAACAATGAATGGGTTACCAAGGAGATCAAGAAAGAAACAAAAAACTTCCTCGAAACAAATGAAAATGAACACACAACAACCCAAAATCTGTGGGACACAGCAAAAGCAGTCCTGACAGGGAAGTACATAGCACTACAGGCCTAGCTAAAAAAAATAAAATAAATAAAAATAAAATAAAATAAAACCAAGAAAAATTAATAATAAACTATTTAACCCTACAACTTAAAATAATTAGAAAAAGAACAATAAGAAAAACCCTGAGTAAGTAGAAAGAAGGAAAAAATAAAGATTAGAGCAGAAGTAAATGACATAAAAACAATACAAAAAAATCTATGAAACCAAGAGCTGGTTCTTGAAAAGTTAAATAAGATTGATGACTCTTTAGCCAGACTCATCAAGAAACAGAGAGCACTCAAATAAATAAAATCAGAAACAAAAGTGGTAAAGTAACAACTGACCCCACGGAAATACAAAGGATTGTAAGAAAATACTGTGAACAACTGTATGCCAACAAGCTGGACAATGTGGATGAAATGGAAAATTCCTAGAAAAATACAATCTCCCAAAACCGAATCAAGAAGAATCAGAAAACCTGAATAGGCCAGTAACAACTGATGAAATTGAGGCAGTAATTAAAAAACTCCAAGCAAACAAAAGCCTAGTCCAGAGTGCTTCACAGGGGTGTTTTAAGAAACATTCAAAGAACTAACATCTGTTCTCCTCAAACTATTCCAAAAAATCAAGAGGAAGGAACACTTCCATCCTCTTTGTATGATGCCAGCATTATCCTGATACCAAAACCAGATAAAGACACCGCAAAGAAAGAGAATTACAGGCCAATATCCCTAATAAGCATAGATGCTAAAACCCTCAACAAAATATTAGCAAGTAGGATTCATTGAGCAATATATTAAAATTATCATACACCATGACCAAGTGAGATTTATTCCAGGGATGCAAGGCTGGTACAATATCCGCAAACCAATAAACGTGATACATCACATAAACAAATCGAGAGACAAAAATCACATGATCATACCAATAGATGCAGAAAAATTCAACACCAATTTTTGATAAAAAAAAAAAACTCTCAGCAAAGTGGGAATAGAGGGAGCATAGCTCAACATGATAAAGGCCATATATGACAAACCTATAGCCAACATCATACTCAATGGGCAAAATCTAAAACCATTTCCCCTAAGAACAGGAACAAGACAGGGATTTCTGCTTTCACCACTCTTATTCAACATAGCACTGGAAATCTAAGCTACAGCAACCAGACAATAAGAAAATATAAAAGGCATCCAAATTTGAAAGGAAGAAGTAAAACACTCATTATTCGCAGATGACATGATATTGTACATAGAAACCCCTAAAGACTCTACCAAAAAAAAAAAAGACTACTAGATTTCATAAATGAATTTGGCAATGTAGCAGGATACAAAATTAACAGCCAGAAATTGACAGCATTTTTATACACCGATAATGAACTCACAGAAAGAGAAACTAAACAAACAATCCTATGTACCATTGAAACAAAAAAATTAACACACTTAGGAATAAACTTAACTAAGGAGGTAAAAGACTTGCACTCCAAAAACTACAAGACATTAAAAAAAGAGATAGAGGACAGAATAAACAAGTGGAAGAATATACCACTTCATGGATTGGTAGAACTAACATAATTAAAGTGTCCATACAACCCAAAGCAATCTATAGATTCAATGCAGTGGCTATTAAAATACCAACAACATATCTCACAGATCTAGAACAAATACTCAAAAAATTTATAAGGGACCAAAAAAGACCCCGAATAGCCACAGCTATCTTGAAAAAGAGGAACAAAGTGGGAGGAATCACAACACCAGATATCAAGTTATCTACAAAGCCACTGTAATCAAAACAGCCTGTTACTAATACAAGAGCAGGCATATAGATCAATGGAACAAAACAGAGACCCCAGAAATTGACGCAAGCCATTATGCGCAATTAATATGTAACAAAGCAGGC